AACACATTATAATTTATGAGACTTGCATCTATATGAACATTTGCATTTAGAACATATATTTAGGTATTTCAATTATAATAATGTATACATCTCGTGTAGGAGAGAAATATAAGATTAGCCACCTAAATCAGCTGCACATCGATCCAGCTAACCACTAGCAGGCCTTACAAACAAGTGAGTGGCATTATTTCTAATTTCAGAGTTTCTTAAAATAGATGTAGAAAAAAATATATATAAACTTAACTAAGAAATTTCTATATGGTTATAATGAAATGAGAAACGGTGTAGTTATTTTCTAATTTCTTATAGTGATGTTTTTGTATGATTTCAAATAGTTTTATTGTGTGGTGTCGGACAGCCATCTGGAGCAGGTGACAAATCTACATGACATGATATGACTTATGACTCAGTAGGGTTCTAGACGCTGTAGGCTATGTTAGCTTGGCCTTAGGATGATGACGGCTCATGGTGCTAGCTATATAGTATTGTAGCGCCCAACATGTTTTGCTTTGTGTGGCCCATCTTATGTTTTCTTGTTTTATGTTTTGTGTACACTGCTCTCCAAACATTACCCTATTGTGCACATCAGGCCAGAGCTAGACATTAATGATTTGAGGTTTTTGTTTTTGGAATTTCTACTTAATTTATATTTTTAGTTGTTGACAGATAACTTATTATGGCTTGTGTTGTGGACCTTTTTCTGCATTCATTGAATAGTTATCTCTTGAATCTATTTCCTTGTTTGTGAAAAAACAAAACCTCACCGTTTCCACTGAAAAGTAGAATGCATCCCATTCACTGAGACGGTGGTCTCACCCGTTTAATTTTCTTTTTTCCACAGATTTGCAGGACGATGGCTGGATCCACTGCACTATTCACCTCAGCACATAGTAGAGGTCGGGCTATCATCAGGAAATTTTTGTTGAACTTTTTCTTGAGTTAGAGTGGACTACTTCCTGACATATATTATATTTATATTGTTAAATTAATAGTAAATTTAGTTGACAAGCTTGTATGCTATATATTGGGGTGTTGGGAAACACTGCTGATAACTCTAATTTATTCCCTATTGCTATAATTAAGTATTTTTTTTTGATTCGTGCTTTAGAAACTCAACATGATTTTTTGCCATTGTAACTTGTATGCAGCACATTAGTATATTTTAGTTTATTGCCCAAGGTACCAAACCGATTACTAAATAAGGGTTACAATAACTAACGTGCTGTCGGTTTTGCCAGGGTAGCATTTTGGTTATTGTCCCGCTATTATGTTCTGCTCAAGAGTAGGGGCGGGGCGTGACAATAATATACAAATACTATAGTTAATTAATAAATAATAAATTTGTTAACTTAAATATGTTAGAAAAAACAGATGACCAATTTGTAGGAAAACTCGGCCTATATTTATATAAAAGCAGTGAATTTTTTTATTTTATTTTACAAATTATAAACCGTAATTTAAAATCGAACAAAACTGTAAATTGTGGTTCAATTTAGTTTATAAAAATTACAAACTATAAAATATGGTTTGGTTTCAACTTGAGTATCAAATTGAATTAAACTGAACTACAAACACTTTTAATATAGAGATCTAAACCCATGGTACATTTAATGTTACAATTTAATTTAATATGATAGTTTGACTAGTACCCAACGCTCGTACAAAATTTATCGCATGCATGCGTGTTTATAATACACACACATATATACGAGAATGAATTAATTGATACAGATATAAGTGAAAAATAGTTATTCTATTAATTTAGTCACATTTAACAAATGAAATTAATTATAACTATGCCTTACTATATCAATTTATACTTATTTTTTTAAAAATATTAATTAATTTTATTAATTGATGTGAACAAATTAAGAGTGATGTTGATTGATCCTCTTCCTCTCTCTCCCTCCCTCTCTCTCCCTCTCTCTCTCTCTATATATATATATATATATATATATATATATATGAGAGATTTGCATACACGCTAGACCAAAATTAGTGCCCCACCTAACATCACCCACTTGTTGGATTTACTCGTTGACGGTGGCCACCTTGGTTAGACTACTTGTGGCGAGAAACAAAAGTTTGAGGGACAACCCTGACTCGTTCTTCACCAATCCAAATGACTGAAAGACAGCGCCAGGGAGCAAACCCCTTCACATGCATACCATGAGCTCATTTTTTCCCTTCACCTGCGACACATCAATAAGACAATCAGAGTTTAACGAATAAAAAAATATATTAAGGGACTCAAACTAGATTCTCTTCCATTGTTGATCGGGGATAGAGCTGGGACTAGGAAGAAGGATTGGAAGGTTACGGTAAACATATTTAAGAATTAGATCGATAAAAATTGTAATTGAGGGGCAATAATAGAAAAAGAGTACAAGTTGGGGGACCAATTTGGGCCCATGGTTTTTTTTTTTTTTTTTTTTTAATGCTATAGGTCCACGATGCCGACCCTGTCGTTTTCCTATCCTCTCTATCTATTCGTATTAGTTTGTTAACATCCTGGGAAGATCGTATTAAATATACTTTTTTGCGTGTTATTTACTAAGTCTTTTGTTTCATTTAGCAACTTAATTATTTTTTAATTTGGGGCTTGTGAGTTTTGAAAATCTCAAATTAAGGTAGATTTTTAACTGGAAATTACAATTTTCAATATTTTAACCATAAATATTTATTTTTATTTTTTTATAATAAAAAAATTTATTTATAAAAAACTCCATCTCCCAATAACAAGTAGATAAAAGTTACTTAATAATGTAGGTGAAATAAGGGGGTGAGCACCGTAAGTTTTTGGATGAATTTATACGAGAAATCAACTAAATTCAATACAAGTTGGGATTGTAAAAATTGTCAAATTGTACGCACCTAGATTGGTAGATTGGTAAAGGAAAGGAGGATCGGAATGATTCTTTTGACAAATTAGTTAGGGGCCTAAAATGAGTAGTGCTAGATGGGACGAGTTTTTTAAAGCAAAAATAAAGAGGCAATGAAAAAGAGAAATTGACATGTGATTACATTTTTTTTAATAGACAAGGAGAAATGAAATGTCAAAATCAGAGTTTTTAAAGGGGAGATGATGAGCAGCTGGATTTATTTATTTTTATTTTTGACATATAAAAGAAAAATGAATTGCTTGTGTTTGGGTTACAAACTTATATTTGCACACCCACAAAAATAATATATATATGTGTGTGTGTGTGTGTGTACCAGTTTAGGCATAACAACAAAAAGACTTTAAATAATATCTGTCTATTTATGCACATTTGGCCACTCTAAACATTAATTAATTAGGCAAATTTAATGTTTAGGGAGATCATGACAAACCGTTACAGTAATAAATTTATAGATCTCTGTCTCTAGTCGTATAAATGGAAAACACGAGGGCAAATGGCAATTATGGCACTGAGGTTAAAACATTGTATTAAAGCGAACCATTATTCAAACCTAAGCTGCGGCGATTTTTGTTTGAACTCACAACTTTGATCTGTGATAAGACTGATAAATGTTTAATTTATATCAATGCATTTAAAAATGTAAACTTTATCATTTAATGAGAATTTAATAAATATTTAAAGAGAAAAAAGCACTTAAAGTATGGTTAAATAAACGTAAACAACAATTTAAAATATATTATTAATTTAATAAATATTTATCTTTCCCCCACAATTACAGGTGGTTATAATGGGACAACAGAATCTAAGGCATTGTTTGGTATGCAACTATTTTGAGATTTCTCCATAATTTAATAAAATTATACTTGTGTTTCTTTAGCAACCCATATAATATCTTTTGGGTGTTGTATCAACTATCAAGTGAAACAATTTCATAAACTAAAAACATTGTAAAAAAAGAAGGGAAGAAAGATAAAGAAGAGAGAGTCTAACTTTTTAAATTTGTTTTGGAAAACAACTTTTTTATTTTTGGAAATGGAAAATCCATTCCAAAAGTCATTTTTAAAAATTATTTTTCAAAAAAGTTTTTTTAGAAGGTAAGTTAGAAAACAACTAAAGAGTTATCTTTAAAATTTTAATTTTTTTTCTCAAAAGTGATAATGTTATTCAAAAAAATAGAGTTTTTAAGATATTTTAAAGAATTTTTAGCAATTCGTATTTTCCAAAAAAATAAAATAGAATTTAAGTAATAAAATAATTATGAGATTTATAAAGGGAGTTAAAGGTTTGATTTTTGACACTTTTCAGTCTATAGAAGTCAGATATATATAAAAAAATACAAATGTATATAAAACACATTTTTGAAAATTGAAGGGTTGAATTGGAAATTTGATTTTAAATTTTCTGCACTTTTAAAAGACAAAAAATCTCATTAAAACATTTTAAAAAAATTTAAAATCGCATATTTTTATTCAATAAAAAGTTATTTATTCGAGCTCTATTTTTCAGAATAAAATAAAAAACCTTAAAACTTCAAATATTTTCAAACATTCTCTGAATAAAAAAATTCAAAACCAGAATTACTGTCTACCAAACAAGGAGTAAGATCGAACGAGCCTAACCGACGAATGTGGCCTGCCTCTCTCTCAATCTTTCTCCCCCTCGCACCAGCACGCGCGCGTGGTCCCACACACACACGCACGTTCACCTAACAGTTGCCTTCCCCTACAAATCCCCGAAAGATCAAACGCCCCTGAAAACGGGTGAGACATTAGAAAAACAAAGACACGCACACACAGAATATACTTTTAGAGAGAGAAACAAGAAGAGAAAGTGCGTGTGAACGATAGCACCAGACAGTCCTCGTACTCACTGAGAGAAAGAGGAGAGAAGGAGAAGAAGAAGAAGAACAAAAAAAAGTAATCCAAACCCCCATTCCCCTTCCTCCATCTTTCGCTCTCTCTCTCTCTCTCTAACCTGTTCGATCGAACAACCCCCCCCAAAACTCCTGTTCTACTCGCACAATTCTGTATATACACATACATAAACACATATATAGGCTATACATACATATCTGTCGTGTAATTTATAATTCGTAGAATGGAGAGTTACGGTCAGACAACGGCAATGGAAGAGCCACAGCACGATCCGGCTGAGGATTGGAGCTCGCCGGGGGCCGAAACCGGGCTCGAAGGTCAGTCCACTGTTCAAATTCGTCAAATTCAAGTGGAATTTGGCCCACATTTGTGCTTTTCTAATCGGATTGGAATCAGTCAGTGATAACCAGTAGTTCAAACTCGTTTAATTGGAGTCTGATCTCTCTCGCCTGCATGTTCTTTCTGATTCGAGTCAATACTTCAATTCGTTCAATTTGAGTGGAATTTTGCTCGCATTTGTGTATACGTATAACAATTGGGATTGTGGAGTTGTGTGTATGATTGATTTTGATGTTGATTTTGCAAAATGCAGAGCCTATGTGGCAGCTGGGATTGGGGGGTGGTGACCAGGAGGAGGAGGGGGAGGAATCTTACCCGGAGCGGCCCGAAGCTGCCGATTGCGCACACTATTTGCGGACCGGGTTTGCGGGTTCGGGTCTCGCTGTCGGTACAACCATCCCCGGGATCGTAGTACGGTATTATTCTTTCAATTGCACGTTTAATTTTCTTTTTATTAGGGCTAATTAGAGGGTTTTGGTGAATGTTGGAGATCATTTCAATTTAGTCCATGGTTCAGTCTCATCTCGTTGTTGCTTCTATTGTAACCTTTTGCCCATGATTTAGTTCTATTGGATTTGTTAGATTGTGGAGTTTTGGGATTGCTATAGATAGAAAATCAGTCTTCATAGTAATAAGTTTTGTTCACTTGGATGCAATAATTGAGAAATTAATACAGTCAAGGTATCTTTGATGAGAATCCTGGCAGGTCATAGAAGCTGTGAGAGCTGGAGGGGAAGAGTTGCCAGAGAGAGCGGGCCAGCCTGTGTGCCAGGTACGTGTTATAATTACACTTTACAAACGTTTAAACTTGAAACATCGGTCCATTGATTTGAAATTGCTTAAGGTACATTAGCTAACTATCTAGCGTTTATGCTTTCAATTCATGCACATTTAAATTTCATGAAAAAATGGGTTCTTGCATCATTATTAATGAACATGTATTGTGCCTAGTATTACATGAGGACTGGAACTTGTAAATATGGTGCATCTTGCAAGTATCACCATCCAGGGCAGGGAAGTGGAGCTGTTACTCCCACGCCATTAAATATTTGTGGATACCCAATACGCCCGGTATGAATTTGTGCTTGTGTTTATTCTGCGATGTGATATGAAGTTGGCTCATAATTGGAGTTTCTGTCTCAGGGTGAAAAAGAGTGTTCATACTACATGAAAACAGGACGTTGCAAGTTTGGTCCAACTTGTAAATTTCATCATCCACTACCAGATAGCATGGCGCAGGCACCAACTGCTGGACCTTTGCCTGTACCAGCTCCCATGCCTGCTCCATTAGTTTATCCATCAATACAGTCTCCTCCTCCTCCATCATCTGAACAATATGCAGCAGCGGCAGGAAATTGGCCAGTTGGAAGGCCTCCTCTAGTTGCAGGTTCATATTTGCAAGGACCTTACGGTTCCTTGTTCCTTCCTCAGGGCATAGTTCCCTATACCAGTTGGAATCCTTACCAGGTAGGTCAATTAGCTCCAGTGGACTACTTATTCTTGTACTTTTTTTTTTTTTTCCAGCAACTATGTTTTAGGAATATGTTTATATCCCTATTAAATTATTGACCCACCTGGGGCAGGCACCTGTAAATCCAGTAGCCTCCCCTAGTACTCCGTCCACTGTTGGAGCAGCTCCTATTTATGGGTTAACACAGTTGTCTCCTTCCACGCCTACATATACAGGAGCTTATTTACCACTGCCTACTATACCTGATTCTTCAAGCAGTAGCCTCAAGGAACAAAAGTTCCCAGAAAGACCTGGCCAACCTGAATGCCAATATTACATGAAAACTGGAGATTGTAAATTTGGGTCATCCTGTAAATATCATCATCCACGAGAATGGAGTACAGCATACTTGAATTATTTCCTTAGTCCAATGGGTCTTCCCATACGTCCGGTAAGCATCTTGGTGAAATTTTGTTACTCATCAATGGTTTACATATTATTTCAGAATTATATGTCAATACTCACCACCAATCTATCCCTTCACATCTGTCCATGTCCCACATGTGTTTTTTTCTTATATTTAGCTGAGATATATACGCACTTATTTCTATGTTAGTGTACTTGTTTTTTATATGAGAGCAATATTGACATTTATCTTGTGAATCTGGAAAATGCAGCTTATTTGCCTCTCATGATGCAGTGGCAGTGAAAGTTCACGACTGAGGCATACTTAAGCAATCTTATATGTTATATGTAATTTATTTTATAATGAATTTCAGCATTGAGCTGAATGTGAATTGCAGATTGTAATCATCAAATGTGATTAGACATGAAGATGCTACTTAGATACATGTATTTCAAGTTGATGGCGTTGAACACATCTTTCGAACAAATTACTCTGCAGAGAAATGAATTCTTATGACTATAGCTCTCATATACCAAATTTTATAAGAATTTTGCTCATTAAGATTAAACTGTCTGGTACTCTGGATGGCTATTCCTTCTTACACAGTTCTGGTAAATATCAGGAGATGGCATCTCTGTTAAGCATGGAGGAAAGTTTTCATAATGTTGCATGCATTTGAACTCTCAAGGGATAGCAAGAGGAGAACTATAGACAAATAAAATAAGCAGATATAACAATCTTTAATCAGTTAGAATGGGATGGTTTGATGTGATTGAAATAGTAAACACCCTCTGTATGAATAGGCGTAAGGATAGAGACCTTTTTTTTCTTAGGAATTTTGGTTGTCATTGGATTTTGTGGTCTAAACTTACATGTGGACCATCTACTTACACTCAGTTCAATTGATGTCATCATTTGACCACCTTTCATTAGGATAAGGTTTCTTCTTTATTGTGCCTAGCTAATTGTGACACATGCTTTAAGAACAGATGCTCACAGGACTATACTGGCAGGAGCAGTATTTTGGGAAATTATGACTTCCATTTTTCTCTTATTCTTAAGTTCCTGCCTTTTATTATCTAAATGCAAACCCAACCCCCCCCCCCCCCCCCAAAAAAAAAAAGACTTCTGTGTATGCCTCATCTTCCATTCTTATCGTCATTACTATGTATTAACGAAATATTCTTCTCTGTGAACATGGATGCTTGTGTTCTAACCTTTAGTGTATAGAATTCTTGAAATTTAGGGGGCAAATTACTCTTATGTGCCTTGACTAATTTGTGTGTGTTTTTTTCTTGAGACTTTGTATAGACATAGTTGACTAGGTTTGGATTTTATTAGGTTTATAGTTATCTTGCCAAACTCCAACCTATTTATAACCGTATAAGCAGAAAACCGGTGGGCTTTATTATACTTAGACTCAATCTAGAAGTCTGTTTTGACTGAATAAAGAGTTCAAGCAATAAGAATATCAAACTGCTAACCAGAGCCCAAGCGTAATGAGATGTTAAAAGAACCATGATAGGTGCCTAAATTATATCCCAAGCAAGAAAATTTACAGCATGTAATGCAAGATTTGACCCCTAAAACATAAGAAAATGTATAAACTTGGGGTCCGTCTAGTGTGTTAACCTCCCCATTAGGAAGTTTTTGGATTAAAACCTTCGTCCCAATGTAGCAAAAAGAGTATGTGTGCACATAAATACATAATTATGTATGTATTAAATCCATTTTAGCTGTAAAGCCAATAATCTATCTTCAGTCCTAATGCAGGAGGTAAAGAGAGATCAACTAAGTACAGCTAAAGGCTTTTGTTATCAACATAGATAAGCTCACTCTAGCTAATGACTTCAGACACTCAAGAATCTCGACCTACCCAAATCTAACATTAGAAAGTAGTTAATCACTTCATACACTCAAGAATCTCAAACTACCCAAATCTGACATTAGAAAGTTATTATTGAAGTTTTCCTTGACAAAGTACATATAATTTTACTTGGAAGTTGCATGTTTAGCAGTTAAAGGTCCAAATAGTCACTATATGACCACAGCTGCATGAAATAGGAGTATTATATTTATGGTTCAGTCTCCCCTTGTCCCTTTTAGAAGACACTTGACTAATCAATTTGACACAAGTAGTGTCACCTTTAACAAATACTAGCTCCCTACTGCAGCATGGGCAGGCTGTTGAATTTAAACCTTCATCAAATCCTAAATTAATTTATCAGTGTAGCTCCAACCTCTAACTTCGAATAATAATATCTAGCTACCATGTAAATTGGGAGAAATTTATTGAGTCAAGGTCATTTATCTTCACTAGAACAGCAAACCTCAACAACTGAATCGCAACTAGTGTGCAAGATGTTTAAAGAACCATAACATAATGGAGCTGACATGTAGAACTACAACATTTTCTATGAATACCCAAGAGGCAAAATTCATTGGTAAACATCTGGACTTTGACATATAAAAATGTACAACTTTTTTTTGTAAAAAAGCCTTAAAAGGAGTGCTTTAAATTGTTTGTTGCTTTTATCCATTTGATTTATTGGAGTGCATTAGGAAGAGGAAATCAGCAAGCAAAAGAGTGGACAAGGGATATATAAATGCAGAGAAGCTGGTTTCCTGATTATTTTCATTGCTATGAGGAGACATGGCCTGGGTGGAGCAAAGTTAAAAAAGTATTCAAATATAAACCATTGCATTTATAAGTTTTGAATATTTAATGTTCAACATTTTGCGTCTTACAATACGTAGTTTATTCTGAAAACTATGCTCAATGTGTCCATCTCTTGAATAAAAAACTATGTATTACTCTGTATATCTATTATACCTAGAAAATAAGGTAAATATTTGAAATTGGAAATCAGATGACTCCAATTGGGTGACATACCCAAGTCTAAGTATAATAATGCATATTTGATTTTAGTTAAAAAAAAAAAAAAGCACAATGATAGAAACTGCAATCATGAAGCTTTTTGAACATTGCAGATTGAAGTTCAAGAAAACATATAATTGCAATTAGTAGGAATTCAGTTGTCTTGGGCTTCTTCACTTCTGATTCTTTTCAGTTTTCTTGAGTGCTTGCTCTCATTAATCTTGTTACCTTTGATTTCTGCGACTTCTACCTCTCACCTCGAAACCCAGATTAGTTGTTGAATCTCGACTTTGACAATCCTATCATTTTTTCCCCTCATCCTGATATCCTCTAGTTTTTCACTACCTGATATTACATTAATTGATTCTGTTGTCTAATCAGCTTCATCCATGCATATTATTGCCGAAAATATTAAAAACAATAATCTGTTGTGGTCAACTTGCTAAACAATATTTGATCCCAACGAATACAGACTGATGCAAGCAATGTTAAGGAGTTTTAGTACATTAGGAGGTAGAATTGTTATGCCATATTGCATTTGTTACTGTGGACCTTGTTCAAATGCATGTTCCCTGCCATGTGTGTGTGCGTGTGTGTATTTTTTTTTATTTTTTTTTTTGGGGGGGGGGGGGGGTTGTGAGGCCATGTATATCTGCTTGCTGTTTAGGAATATTCTTACATTATTGTCCACATCATTGAATTGGCATTTGTTTAAATGTCCTCAGGTGCGCCTGTCGCTTCTTTAATTTTCATGGGCTTGGATTCTTGTACCTATTTATATTTTTAATGCCTTTGTATATGATCTGCATCTCGTATGTTAATCACTTTCTATAAATAATATGTTAATTTTTTTTCAGGGTGCACCACTTTGCACGCACTATACTCAGAATGGAGTATGCAAATTTGGGCCCTCATGCAAATTTGATCATCCAATGCCAACACTGAGTTATAGCCCCTCTGCATCTTCTCTTGCTGACATGCCAATTGCTCCTTTTCCTGTGGGATCTTCAACTGGTACTCTGGCCCCGTCATCCTCGTCATCAGATTTGAGGCCTGAACTTATTTCGGGGTCGTCCAACAAGGATGCCTTTTCAACAAAAATGTCTTCTTCTACGAGCACTTCTAGTGGTTTGGTTTCCTCGAAGAGTGGGCCCACCTCTCATCTTCAGCAGTCTGGTCAGGCTTCTTCCTCTTCTGCTTGAAGCTTAGCAGAAGATTGTTGCAAATCTTAGCCACCTTTCACCACAATTCATCAACCAAAGCATATTTTTTGTTTTGGGCAAGGTCTCTTCTATTAGTCTTGTTTTCAGTAACCATGGTTCGACAATTCAGATCTAGTGCACTGTTGATATTCATTTCTGTCTTGTGCACAATCTTTTGTTTGGCTCCTTTTTCATCTTGAGTAAGTCATGTCCAATTTCTAAGTCAAGCAACTCATACGCGGTTCTTGTGTTGCTTCCCAATAACCCAGAAGAGAAGCCCAACTTTTTTCTGGAAAACTTGCCCATCTCTGCTATCAAAGAAAAGAAAAAAAAACTTACCCATCTCTCCAATTTTGGATACCATGTTTTCTAATACTGATCTCCTTCATCAACACCAGCTTGTTGAAATGGAAAACAATAGATGCTCTACACTGCTTTTTCTCTTTGAATGTTTCTCTTTTGTCCTTCAATCATTTAGACTTATTTAAATTTGGGAATGAACTTCAATTCTATATAGGAATGAATTTGGAGGTGTCCTTGTTCCCCATTTTGTCCAGGCTTGTAGGTAATAGAAGAGGCAACTTGAAGATTCCTAGCACTGCAGGGCTGCTACACGTGGGAGAAAAAAATGTCTGCAATATCTGTCGGAACTTTGTTGCTTGATGCTTATCGAGTTATACCAAATAGGAAAAAGAACAAGGGAAAAAAAAAACCCTGAGACTTTGTAAGAATAATTTGTCACCTTTTTATCCATTGATTACAATATGGATAGCATTACTTCTCTGAGCTTTGCTTTTATAATTATGTGCCAAGTATGGAACAATTTTGGATCTTTGCTGATGTGGACCAATTTTGATGTGATTATAAGAAATATTTCAGGGGAAGCATGATCATTAATAGATATAAATAACCTGCTGATCTGTGTGTGGATAGTAGAGACCTTTGGTACAATTTTGACATTTGGTGCTATTTGGCAGGTGAATCTTCAACCCATGACCTGTGTGTTCAGACGTGTGCAGTAAAAATCAACGAATGAGATTAATTAAAAAAAGATAATAATAAATTAGATATTAAAAATTAATTTTATTTATTAATTTTGATCAAATCAACAGTAAATAATATAGTGTAAATGTTTTAAATTTATATTATATATTAATTAATTCTTTTTCTTGAAAATTTTATATTACTCAAAACTCAATAAATTCATCC